TGGGAATACACATCACATTTAGGCAAAGATGTTGTTAATATCTTAAAAAGGAAAGAAAAGAAAAGACAGTTTAAGGACGGATCAAAAGTGTCAGTTATACTTAGTTCAAGAGTTTCAAATTATACCACAATTTAACTGGCAATATTGATTCTCATCTGACAGCCTCAGGAAGAAGTAATACAGACAGTTTATCATTTTTTGGTTTTCTGTGAAAATGGAAAATTTTTGGTGGTCCTGAGATCACATGTTGGGTTTTCTTTTCAAAGAATGCTATACTAGTGAAAGCCTAAACTGGAAAAATATTTCATTCTTATATACTGGTTTTGTGGTCTTTAAAAAAGAACAAGTTCTAGGTTTAAATGTTAGGTCTTAGGAAGAAAGTTGAAGAAAATCAACAATAGCCATGGCATAGAAATTTGGAAAAAAATTAGATAGTGTAACTTTCAACACTCTTTAGTCCAATTGCTCTTAGTTCTTACAGTTTACAGACTTGGGTCTTACAAGTTTCCATGTGAGGTTATAACAGAAGAGCCAAATTCTACTGGCCAAACTAAAAGAGAAAAATTGCAAGCATACGACTCTAGGTTCCTGAAGACTCTGCTTTTTGTTTTTTTAAAAAAATTTCTTTTAAATATATGGAGTACAATTCAGGGTTAGGTATATAAATGTTCATTATGTGGATACCCTTGTCGATGAGGTGTGACCCCCCCGGCAGTTTCCCACTACTGCCAATCCCTTTCTTATAGTATTATGATAGTTGCTCAAGGTCCACTTATGAGTGAGAACATGTGATACTCGGTTCTTTGTTTCTGTGATAGATCACTCAGTATTATCTAAGTCCATCCAAGTTGCTGCAGAATTCATAATTTTGTTCTTCTTTATGGCTGTGTAATATTCCATCATGTATATGTACCACATTTAAAAAAAAATCCAGTCCTCTTTCACTGGGTAGCATGGTTGGTTCCATGTTTTTTCTATTGTGAATAATGCTGCAATAAACATGCATGTGCAGGTATCTTTTTCATAGAATGATTCGAAAACTATTTTTTACGGGTTTCTCATTTATGTCAGTCATTTCCTTAGTCATTCAACTCCCAACCTGGTTAAAATCTCCAATTGTTTCACATTTCCCAATTTCCACTGCAACCGGGACATTGGTGTTTGCTTGGTCGAATTTCATTGCTGGTTTTACAAACAAGATTTTTAACTTCACAGTTCATCATGAGTATGTAGCCTGGAGGCCAGTTATGTCCTGGAGGCCAGTGTGGCAGCTTCAGGAACTCTGCTTATTCCAGTGCCACCTGTTCAGATCTTAGTGGTACTCTCTGACCAGCTCCTGGCCCCCTGTGATGAGGACCATTTGGATGGGTCACACTGCGATGACATCTATTTCCTCTCCCCCCCAATTATGTTCATCTTGTAACACAAAGTTATTATTTTATTAATATTATACAGAAAACATGTTATGGAATTAATGTTAACTGTATACTATATTAAATGTTATACTATATTATGTTCAATCACTATTAGCTTGCTGTGACTTTACACCATGTTTTCTCTACAAGTCATTTTTGTAAGAAAATAAACCAGTGCTTCCCAAACTGTGTAGAAATCACCTGGGATCTTGTTAAAATGCAGGTCTGATTCAGTAGTCTGGGGTGGGTATGAGCTTCTAATGAGCTCCCAGGTGAACACATTTTCAGTACCAAGGATATATACAGAGGGTACCGAAAAAAAGTATACACATTTAAAGAAAGGAAAAAAAACTGTATTAAAATTATAATATTCAATATATACCCATAACAAAAGATGAATACAAGTCACATTTGACTTCTGCAATTACAAGGGGTGCTCAAAGTGGTTTCCATCAGTATCTAGACACTTCTGATTACTGTGAGCTACTGCAGGACTTGTTGCTGTGTGAGGTCTCCTGGATCTTTCCTTGTGTGTTAGAGGTTCTGTTGCATACTCACACCTCCATTGTTGTTGTACTTCCACAACGTTCTCGAATTCCAAACACCATTTCAAAATGGTCTTGTGCTCCTTGAGCGACAACCATGCTTCTGCCATTTTCTTGGACTGCCCTGCCTGTCACATGGTGATGCTAGCATCCATTTGATTAGCGCCATCTTTTGAGCGAATGTCACACTACACATTGCTACCGTGATTCAGTCCAACTTTGAAAGTAATACATAGATAACATCTCTTAAAATGTGTATACATCTTTTTGGTACTCCCCTTATGTGTAATCTTTTATGAGCTACAGACAAAGTTGATTTTAATTCTTCTTAGTTCTCCAATTAGAATATTAAAACAATTATTCATAAGATGCAGTCTTGGGCTTGCCTTTGTTTGTATCTCTATGTCCAACCTTCCTTTCCTCTCTGCCACCTCTTAACTTAGATCCTTTTTGTTCTTGTCTGGACTACTGCAGGCACTCTTCCCTCCATATTGGGCTTAACTTCTGTTAGATTAAGTTCTCAAGAACTCTGAGAATAGTCTTCATCATGTCATTCCCTTGCTCAGAAAACATCAATGAATTCTCTTTGCCCAAACAATAAAGTTTAGCCTCCTTAGCAGGAGACTGTAATTTTCTTTTCCAGTAGTTATTCCCTACTTAAACTCCCTGCTCTACTTGTGAATGTACTTGCATTTCTTCTCCTCTAAACTAATATTTATAACTTTCTGAGGTAGACTATCTTCTCATCTATTCCACCATTGGAAACCTACTGTTTTCAAGTCTTGGGACAAATTATTCTACCTATGTATTAAGTCCATCCACAAGGCATCACTCGTGGCTCAGAAATCCTAACACACTTCTGGACCCTCCTTGTCATATGGCCCTGCCCCATCCATTATAGCTGATACATTTATGGAGACAGCTCATGTAAATGTATTAGCTATAATAAAGACTCCTGGGCCCAGGGACCCTAACTAATTCTTTTCTAAACTCCCCTTGTCTGGGAGCTCAGCATTATGCACATCGGTAGACAGCTTCTTAATAGGTTAAAGGTAAGACTTTTGAGACCAGAAGCACCTGGATTTTTATCCAGTAATCCCCTACCACCACCACTGAATATATGACTTTGGGCAAGTTACTTAAATTCTCTGATGTTTTCCCTCATCTAGAAATTTGGGATGATAACAGGCTGTTTGGAGAGTTAAATGAGATAATGTATATAAAGTATGAAGCACAAAGCATTTAATAATGAAAGTGTTGTTAATAATACACCAGCAGCAACAGTGTAAGAAGCACACCATAAATCTGCAAATAATTAAATGGTGTTCAATTTAAATCTTTTCTGCTATAATTAAAGATTATGTCCTTATGGAGAAGGAAAATTATTCACATTCTTGCCCTTCACACAGTTATATTAATCCCATCTTGGGTTTCCTTTCTTTTGTCATAGGTATTACTTTACAGTCTTTTAAGACAGTTCTACAAGCCCTCTATACCTACTCTGTATCCTCAAAACTTTTCTATAAGCCATGAAGGGAATAGTAGGGAGTCATGTCATGACCCCTAACAAATGAAACCAGCATTCTTTCAGACACTCTACTCACAACCCCTGGTTCAGAGCTGTATTTTCATACTTTATATTATCCTATTTAATCTGTAATAGGATAAATATTTACTCAGTATGTGCTATGTAGTGGGTACTGTAGTTCATTATATATATATATATATATACATTTTTTCTTTTTCCCTTTTTAAAAAAGAGATGAGGTCTCACTATGTTGCCCAGACTGGACTTGAAGTCCTGGGCTCAAGCAATCCTCCCACCTTGTCCTCCCGAGTGCTAGCGTGTGCCACTGCACCCAGCCTCCATCTATTTTAGAGAACTATGTTTGCTTTTTAAAAAATCTAAAACAATGGGGACTAGTTATGGCCTAAATATACATGCCAATACTCCTTTCCAAAGGTTTTTATTTTTTCAGTCACTGTCCTAAAGATGCTATATTAAAGACTATGAAGAAGAACCCAGACACATTGTTTCATTTTTATTCCACCCATCACCATTGTATGTCAAAGTTGGGGCAGTCTCATGCTCTTGCCTCAATTCCTGTCAGTAAAAGAGCAAATTCCAAGTCACCTAATGGGCATTTTTATCCTTCCCCATGAACAGTGTCCAGATAAGGAAGAGACTCCAGAATGATCTGGTCCCTGGAACTTGGAATGTGTTTTTCTGTTTTCTTTATCTAAGTCCTGTCTTCAGAATCAACTTTCACATGCTTCCTCTCCTTAAAGACTTTCACCTTGAATTATCTTTCCTTTGCCATATTCCTATCTGGAGTCACACTCTTGAGAACCTTATATACCTTAGTCATTTATTCATTAGCAGATATCTGTAAAGTTCCTACTATATGCCAGGCACTAGTATAACAATGATGAATGCTAGACACATCCTGCCTACTTTCTAAATAGTTAACAGTGTCATGAGGGATACTGAAAAGCAGATGCTTATTAAACACATTTTGTCTGATGTGTATATCAAAAGAACAAAAGTAAAGTGTCTGTTTTATCACAATTTGATCCAATTCACATTTATGAACCAGGCTCTGTGCTAGAACTGGGATATAAAGATAAACAAAACGGGGACTCTGCTCTCAAGAATGTATATTATCTGCAGCTGGGTGATATAACAGTCTCTATTCTGATCTGCATCTGTGGGCAAAATCATTCTTTTCTCAGGAACTTAACCATGATCTCAAATGTGTGGCTATGTATTTACCAACGCACCATCAAATGAAGTTTATAGGGAAAGTAATTTAAATACCAACCAAAGGTGCAAGTCCTTGGAGGGGCGTGGCTTCCTCAGCCTCGTAGATATGGAAATTCAAAGGAGCAAAGAAGTACCCGGGGGCTGGTTGAGTGCAGCTGCGGCCAGTGATGTGGGGGCGGCATTCACACTGCCCATCCTTGGGTGAGCACCTGAGAAAGACAACTCACCATGAAGAAACATAGAAGGGGTGGGTGCAAAATGAAAGTGTGGGGGTGCTGGGCTAATGCCCTCCAAGTTTAGACCAATTGCTGGAATCAGTCAACCAACAGTCCTGAGGGAGGATGCAGAGAGGCCATGGGCTAGACATAACTGAACTTGCAAGTGAACAAGAGCCACGGAGCTCAGGCAGTCACTTCTTTCCTCAGCGGCTCTCTGGTTCTGCTCTAAAAACTGCAAACAGGAGAGCATGAGGACCTTTCTTTACAGATGGTAAAAAGCTGGTATTTTGGGCAGGTCAAGCCACACGTATTCAAGCATCTATCCCACCAGCTCCCAGGCAGGAGGATTATCTCACCCTTGGAACTTTCTGAAGTAAAAGAAATCAACTGGGCTGTAGTTACCGTCTCAGGATCATTGCTTGTCATGGAATAACAATTTTCACCTATGACTGTGAGCATATCAGAATAAAATGTGCTTTTATGTGGAAATGAGGAATATTGCTATAAAATGTCATCTTTCATTTTACTGACTTACACATTAGAGTAAGCACCTCCAATATCACAGTCACAGGGAGAACATCCTTGGTGACTTCCCAGGCCCCAGTATCCAACCTGCAGAGAAAAAGGTTCAGTTGATGTCAGCGATGAAGATATTTGCTGCTCTCAACTGCCACATGTCAAATAGCCAAACAGCCTAAAACATCACACAGTGGCCTTCCTAGGCTGCACACCTGGTTAGTGATCTCCATGGATACATCTCCCACCTTTAGGACTTGAAGTGAAGGATACAGGAAGGAGCGTTGTTCTTGTATTATGTCAAGTGGAAATGCCCTGGCCTGAGCACTTGGTTAGTGATTTCCATGGACACATCTCTCAACTCCCAGACTTGAAGTAAAGGGGATAGGCAGGTTGCCCATGTATTATTATCAAGGGGAAATGCAATGGAAGCCATACAATCCTTCTAACATCACCAGTTTGTGCTCAAACTGGGTCATGTAAGTCCTGTCTGAGGAGTTCAGCCAGCCTATCTGTAGCTGCTTCAGTGAAATTGATAGGTTCCCTTAGCACACAATCCCTGGGAATTTTACCTACACAATACTGAAATGTTTAGGGGGTAGAAAAATCAATCAAGGGGATTTTGAGATGTTACAAACATATCACAGTTTAGTAGAGTTATTTGTTTATGAATCCGTTGTTTTAGCATAATGTGAACCCATGCAAGAGTGTCAGCTCTGTTGTTCAAGATTCTTTCACCTTTGCAACATCTTGACCGTTATTAAATATAAACCACTGGTGAGATAAAACTATTTTTTAAAGTCTGATAACATTTAAAATAAAATCCTCAGAAAAATACTTCCTCCTAAATTCTCAATTCAACATGCTCAGATACAATTTAGATTTAATAGGTATACAACTCTTGTTTGAATTTTTTTTTGTTATCTTGGTAAAATTTTACACACAATTTTATTCAAAAGTATTTACTTTAAACATTCAACATTGATGTCTTTGGACACAATGCAGCAAAGGACTTTTGATATTTTTCCAAAAACTAAGCTTCAGCTTAAGAAAAGAAATTGTGACATGAGCTGCTTCCCTCAGGATGTGGTTGTGAAAACTCCCTCAAGGCCAGGAAATGCTGTCACGCGCGCCATCTCAGGGCAGATCCAGGGCACCATTAGACAGATGTGGATACCGAGTACCTGGTGGGTGCTGGGACTCAGTTATGGTGGACAGTTCCCCCATGGAGTGGTCCTTCCTCAGTTAGTTTCCTCCTAAAAGCAAAACTGAGTCTGTTTTTTCATCAGCCAGTGAAAAGTCCAGCCTGAGCCTAAGGTTTGGCTGGAATTATTTGATTCAGTTGATAAGATAATTCGTCGATTCTGTAACTAACTAGGTACCCTTCATTGTGTTCCACGCTCATGATCATAGAGATTGGCATGATTGACCTTTCTATTTTTTTTTTTTTTGAATTGGAGTCTCACTCTTACCCAGGCTGGAATGTAGTGGCACGCCCTTGGCCACCGCAGCCTCAATTTGCTGGGCTTAGGTGATCCTTCTGCCTCAGTCTTCCTAGTAGCTGAAACTACCAGACGCCCACCACCACGCCTGGCTAGTTTTTGTGGTTTATTGCAGAGACAGGTCTCACCAACTTGCCCAGGCTGGTCTCTGACCCCGGGCTCAGGCAATTCTCTCGCCTTGGCTTCCCAAAGTGCTGGAATTACAGGCTAAGCCACTGTGCCTGGCTGACCTTTCTATTTTATATAAAACTTCTGAGTTACCTGACCTGTCTTAATAGAGTTTCTTCTCCATATTTCCTTTGTTACTTCTTTTCTCCAACCTCCTCCACTCCATCCTGTTTTCAGTAGAATGACTTAAAATATTAGCACAAAACTATGTCCTCATAGGCATATGTTTCTTATTTATCAGCTACATTTCTTCAGACACATCAAGGTCACTGTTCTTTTATTAGGTTAAGTTTTTGGTTTTTTTTCTTTCTAAAATGCCATGGTGGGCTGCCAAGATTGAAGAATAAAGAAAAGAACTGGGTTGAACTCCCCAATTGCATGACACATTTCTTATGGAGTGAATATGTTTTGTTTTACTAATTTTAGAACATACATGCTCATATATTTAGTGAAGTCTGGAAAATTCAAGAGTTTATTTCCCACAGGAATTTGAAATACATTTAAACCTAAGCGTTTTTTTTTTTTTTTTTTTTTAAAGACCTCATCCAAAATAGTTTTAGGCAGGGAGTAGTAGGGGTGACGAGGGAATTGTGTGCGAGAGATAGAAGAAAGTCCCATGGTCTGGTGGTCCCCCCTCCCCCCCCCACAAAAAAGAAGGCCCATAAATTCTCTTCTATGCTTGGCACATTCAGGAAAACAATGGATAAACCTAATGACATCTGTGGCTGGGTTAGTTCAGTCCAATCCAGTGGTGTGCTAGTAAATGTTTAAGCAGCTCTCTGCAGGGGTGGGAGGAGGTTGATGTAAATTGTTTTCCGATTTCTATAGAGTAAATACTCATCCCACAAGGGTATTGAAATACGATAGGACAAAGAAAAAGATCAGCAAGATCAAGTCTTTTCTAGGCAGTGGCAATGGGGATCTGTATCACTACATAAAAGGGACATCACAGGCAAATACATACAGCACATTCCTCACAGTGTGGTCCGGTAGCATAAGACTGGCACAAGCATTGGCCCGTGTCCACATCACAGGCCGAGAGTGGCAGACTCCCAAGAGGGTTACAGTTGCAGGCTGAAAGTACACAGCAGACACAATTATTCTCACTCTGAATTCCCCTACTCTTGTAAATATCCTTAATAGCTCACACCAAACAAAGGCTTTGCCATAAGAACACAGAGCAACCTCGCCTGCCAGGTTTATTGTCAGCTTGGCTGCTTGATCATTGTACCGCACAAAACCTCACACGGGAAATCCCATGCCAAACACTTTCAGAGCCCTGTGTAGTTCCACTGGATGGCAATTAGGAGGAGACAAGTAAGCGTAGGAAGCTGTGCAAGCTGAAACACTGGCACAGTTATCCTGAGTGATGCTAACCAGGTCGGGTGACTGGGGGGGCAGGGGTTTTTGAATGTCACGGTTATTATCCTTTTCTGGCGGATGCATAATTCCCCTCTCTCTTCTCCCTCTTTCTTTGCTGCCTTGTCACTTTTTCTCTTAATTCTCTCCCTCCTCTTTCTCCTCTACCCATAGGCTTTTCCAAGTCCTGCATATATTGTAAAGGCTAAGAAGCCATGCAACCAGAGCAAGGAATACTCTTCCCCAGCAGGAAATACCAGTGTTTATGGAAACAACCCAAATGTCCATCAACCAATGAATGGATAAAGAGAATGTGGCATATTCAATCAATGGTATATTATTCAGCAATAAAAAATGAAGTACTAATACAAGCTACAACATGGATAAACCTTGAAAACATCAACACAAATTAGCCGGGTGTGGTAGCGTGTGCCTGTAGTTCCAGCTACCTGGAAGGCTGAGGCGG